CTGCATCAGTGGCTCTGAACTGCCACAGAAAAACTGGTCCCCGGTTCAGTAAATAACAGAATAGAATTTAACATACTTATTTTACTTCTAAGAGTGACAGTCAGTTTATTTACAGTAAAAATATCTTACTAATGCTTTGCCTCTATGGTTACACAGAGACTCTTGTAAGGAGATCTAGACTCACACTTACTCTAAAAACTGCCCTTTTCTTTCTCTCTCTCCCAAACCTCACTTCCTTTATCTTGTTTAAATTGTTTTTATCAAGTTAGATTCTTCTTTGAGTATATGTTACACACTGGGTATCTTCAGAAGATGTGTAGACTGTCTAGGTTACATGGGGACTCTGTAGCAATTTACTAAAAAATTACTTCAGGTGCTATGGTTAAATAAGCAAAAAAGATTTTGTCACTGTTGTGTTTTCTTTTGCATACATAAAAAGGTCTTGTGCTACATTCGAAGAATTCATATTATGTTTCTAAAAGAATATGATGTTTGGTAGGTTGTACAACTTAATTGCATTCCCAAGACATTTTATGAAAAGCCTCATTTTCTGGGAAAAAAAATATGGTTGGATTTTGGCATCTTTCCATCTCTCTTCTGAAAGCAAGTATAAATGATCTGTTGAGTTTTATAACTAATGCCTGAGAGGCAACTGTTTGCCTGATGGCACAGGAGCCAAGCGCACAGGACCCATATACTAGCACCTCTAAATGAGGTTCCCCAATGCGGGTACAGAAGAATAGATAAACTGGCAGGCAATATGTTCACATCTGTCAACAAGGCAAATGTTTTAAAAGGCCTGAAATCATTATAATTTCAGTAGAAACTCAAATGGCAGAAAGCTCTGGTAGGTATGATAATGAGTGAAGTGGGCCATGTGTAATACAATAGGGAATAGTGTGGACTGTGACAAACTGGAAAGGATATCTTCAGACTTAAGGAATAGGGAATATGTGGCTCCAGCAGCTGATAGTCTGTAAGAACAGGGGCCTAGTGTTATCAGAAATTTTTAGGGGTTTTTTTTTGGGGGGGAGCAAAGGCGAGGTAATTAGCTGTATTTATTTAGCTAGTTATTTTAATGGAGGTACTGGGGATTGAACCCAGGACCTCCTGCATGCTAAGCATGTATTCTAACCACTGAGCTTACCCTCCTCCAACAGAAATTTTTAGTTTTCAAGAGAATCAGAAATTTGTATTTTTAGGCACAATTTCAAAATTTTTTGGACATCACTTGCAGACTACACTCACAAGCCTGTATGTTGGCTTCAGCCTGGCAGCCTCCAGTTTGCAACCTCAGCTCTAAAGGAATAAATAGGTTCCCCTTGTGAAATCAGAGAATAGAAACTGGTTGGGTGGGCCAGGGCATGACTTCTTTATGTATCTGTCACCAACGCCAATGTTAGCCTTAAACACTCCAAAAAAAAAAAATCCAAACAACAAGAATTAAAAATTCAATGTCAAAATATTCCTTGTTTCAAATTTATTTTTTATCTTTTTAAAAAGCATGTATACATATGCTTTATGGAACAGAAAATCTCTATAAAAGATTTTAACTGATATTGATTTTGGAAAGGGCTGAGGACTAGGATGAATATAAAATTTGAGGACCCAGAAAATATTTTTTCATATAAAAGGGTTAGAAATCTGCAAAGCTATGTTCCGTGTTTTATAATCACTGAAGCAATTCAAATGAAAACTGCTTGGCATCCTGAGCGTGGGTTTTAGAAGACCTGACAGTGGAAGGACTGAATGGGGTATCTGCTCCAGGCTAGAAGTGATCTGGGAAACCAAGCCCAAGTAAAGAATCTCACAGCTTCCTAAGTTCTCTCAGTCAACTCGATCAGGTCAAAGAAAGCAGAGCTGGGTGCACTCAAGAGTTATCTGGCTCTGAAACTCCTTGACAGCAGATTCCACCTTCAGTCCAGGATAGATTTAGGTCCATGAATTCAAAACTGCTTTTTGAACCTGAAGATGACAGTCCTGCCACTGAAACACAGGTTCTTGCATGTGATTTACCCTGCTAAGGAGACCTGTGGTATGATCATGGCCTCACAGAATTACTAGAGCAGGAAATCAAGGGAGGGAAACAATCACCATTGTATATTAATTTGGGGGATACGTACAGTCAAGTCTACAAACCAAAGCACATTAATCTTTGAGAATATAGCCTGGAGAAGGCCACTGGCTGGGGCATGCAAAAGGCCAAACGGTCAACATTCTTGATTTCTATTTTAAGGATTCTGATGCAGCACTCCTGACAGCTAAAGCTGGCTGCTGCGGCATTTATACCAGGTGTTAACTTCCTTTTCCCCCAAGGCATGGCTTCACTCTTTATTGGCTATACAGTTGACCCTTGAACAACATGGGTTTGAACTGTGCAGGTCCACTTACACTTGAATTTTTTTCAATAGTAAATACTAGGTACTGCACGATCCGTGATTGGCTGAATGTGTGGGTGCGGAACTGTGTAACCAGAGAGCCAAGTGTAAGGTAATGGGTGGGTTTCCCACCGTGGCGAGGGAGGTGCCCCTAACCCCCTGCATTGTTCAAGGTTAACAAAAGAACTGTGACTGGTACTTTCAGACTTTACTATAGTGTGTATTAAAGGATAAAACTGGAGGGGAGGGAGGGTAAAGCTCAGTGGTAGAGTGCGTGCCTAGCACGCACAAGGTCCTGGGTTCAATCCCCAGTACCTCTATTCAAAAAATAATCAAATAAAGGAAAATAATAAATGTTTTTAAAAAAAAAAGAAGAGAGAAGACAATAATTGGAAATAAATGCCATAAAGGTAAAATACAGATTGAGAGAGCCATCTAGATTGGAACTGCAGCGTATCACACTCAGTTTCCTGTCCTTTGCAATACACACACACATATGTATGCATACTATATAAATATAAATGGATTTAGGAAATAACGGCTAAAACTGAGTTGGCTTTATTGAATGCAGTACTGAAATAACTCACCATAAAATCTATGTTATTGTCCTCATTCCTGAAATGTTCCATCAACTTCTCAAAGCGCTGTTTTTCTCCACAAACCTGAAACACACATTATCATCATGCATGTGAAATTCCAAACATAAGCAGTCTAAAATTAGATGCAGAAATTTTAGCATTAATAATTATTTCCAGAAAATCTATTTTTTCCCTCTCTTGTACACTATTTTCTTCTCTTCTAAACTAGTTAATGCACAAGTAGAAACGTGAGCAAGGACCAAAGCTGACTCTTGGTTTCTCTTACACGCTCTCTCTCAATATTTTGAAATCCATAAACATGCTCTTCTTTCATTTTGTTATCTCTGTTTGTCCCACCATTATTTCCAGCTGACACTGAGAATCCCAGAATATTGCTTATGGTTTAAAAAAATGGATGCAGTTTTCCTTTTTACAGAAACAGACATGCAAAAAGATTTTAATAATTTTCTATTTAAATTCCCTGAAAATTAAATTCCTTTTAAATTCCTTAAAATGTTCATATCAAGTCTAACCAAATCAAGTAATTTTAAGCATAAAATACAACACAAAAACTTTGGGAAGCTATCTAACCCGCTCAGGGTGAGTACAGAAATTTGCAGTAATTTGTGATGTAGCACTCTAGAGGCCTAAAATATACGCATGTAGCTCAAATTATGCTTTCACTAAACAAGTAAAATAAGCAGATAAAATATTGTGAACTCCAGGGCCCCACAGCATTCTGCATATGTGTGGAATTAAATACATGGACTTACAAACAGAGTCAAAAAAAGATTACTTTGTAACCTACCAAATAATAACTCTCTGAAGACTTACTCCCAAAATCAAAGAATAAACTTTTTAATTCTGTCAGCATCCTTGTCTACATCCTTGTCTACCTTTTTTGGAGCAAAGTCCCACATCCACTGGTTTATTCATTCCACCTTCAGAAAATATTTACCCGAACACCCATGGATTACGTGTTGTATAAGTAAGACACAGCCTCTGGTCTTAACATTTTGTGAATGTAATCCAGGTCCCACATGCTTAACTATATTTTGTGATTCTCTTTGTGATCTTAGGAATACTCCAACCAATCCTAAATCCTAAAGATTTCTCCTAAAATGATGTTTCATAATGCTACAATGCAGCCATTTAATTCTGTCATATTAAATTCTGTGATAACTCTTGTATATTATACGAAATATAAGAAAAATCAACAAACAAGTTCTTATACTCACACACACATTTTTGTGAAGAGACTATTCAATGAAGGCAGAACTTTTATGTTTTGTTCACTACTCTATCCTCAGCATCTAGAACAACGCTTAGCATGTTGTAAATTCTCAGTATTTGCTGAATTGCACTGAAGAGAGGATAAACAAGTAATTATGTGAAAATAGCCCTTAACAAAAGGGTGAATGACTTGCACTCTCCATCACATTTTAGAGTGAAACAAGAACCATCAGACCACTGTAGTCAGGGACTAGGAGTGAATCTTTAGTGCTAGTTTCTGAGCCGAAACTGTGTGCTGGTGGGTAGTAGCCTTTGACCTCCGAAGGTCTTCTAGTCTTAAAGCAACTTAATTTTCTCAACAAATTCAGACCACATTTTCCACATTCTGATGACAACTACCTATTGAGCTATACCCGCCTTAACAAAAAAAACTACAGAAAACAGAGGGACAGTGCATGGGCCCAGTCTGGAGAAAATGAAGGAGGCTCCAGAAGGGAGAATTTCAAGTAAAGCCTTTAAAAAACTATGTGTGTCCAGTTCCACCCTAGACAGCCCAATTCAGGGGGCCCAGGAGAGGCTGGGATGGCATGAGCGCATACAATTAGAAAAGCACTGTGGACCATTTTGACGCTGAGAACCAGAGAGTTAAAGGATGCCATGTTCTGCCCCCCGGCCCCCACCATCCCCTCTAAAGAATATGCTGCAAGTTCTCGGGAAAAAAGGCTTGCTGAATGGGGTAGGGCAGTGCAGGACCAGTTCCCTAGACCGTGACATTAGTCACATCTTATGCCCAACCAAAGGCACAAGTATTCCTAGCCTGCTGGAAAAAAAAAGCCCAGTGGGTGACAACTGCCAAAGCTTGGTATAGAAAAGGTCAGAATTACAACCTGAATTTTCCTTGAGAGAAACTTCAACCCAAGAGCCTGTTTCCCAGAAGGGTGGTTTACTATAATCTGTTTTATGAGGCGGGTGGTGGCAGGAGAAAGGAAGAGAGGTAGTCCTGGATCTGGGGACGGCTACCAGCTCTCTTGAGAAGCAGGCTGTGATGAATGTTCTGCTGAGCAGCCTGGCACTCACTGAACGAGAAAAGGCAATGCCCTGAGGGAACAGTGATGATAGACACAATTCCTAGCAGGGCAAAATCTCTCAAATCAAAGAATGTCAGAAACCTGGAAAGCACCTCTGGTACCCTCAGTTTATGAATGAGACTGACACCCAGACAGATCAAATATCTCCCACTTGATAAAATGTCAACAGAGGCTAGAACCAGGTCCCCAACTGCCAGCCTGATGTTCCTTCTCTCACACAGCCCAGAATGTTCCAATACACATATTCCATTTAAGACGATAGTAAAAGCATTCCAGAATTATCTGAGACGCCAACAGAGATGAAAAATGCTGTTATTAAAAACCACAATCATTACATGGGTCATGCACTCGATGTGCATGCGCCAGAATCTTCCATGGAACTTCTAAAAATGGCTGATTCCTGGGGTCTAAGTCATGATACACTGAATGAGAATCTCCATGGACAGAACTAGGAATCTGTGCTTTTAAAAAGTACTCATGCTTGTTACACAAGCATTGGGAACCAGTGGTTTATACAAGAGAAGACTAGCTGATTAAACCCTCAGCCTTTTTGACTACCAATTATAAACTGGAGAGCAAGATCATTAACTCTCCAACTTTTTCAATTGCCAATTTAACTACACAAATAAAGTCACACAGTTACTATAACTGAGTATCACAGGAATGTAGCAGGAATTGGCCCACTGTTCCTGCATAGGTACAATGAATAATAAAGTAACTTCCAAATAATCAGGGATTGTGCCCAGGGCATTAAAGAAAATGGATTCTATACGGCTGAGGAAAGCACATGCAGGCAGCAACAAAACTACACAGATTGTTAATAAAAAGGATGGCATCAACCCCTGAACAAGCAATATTAGATTAATCTCAAGTTGAATATTGTAATAACTTATAAGGAAAAAGAATATGAAAAAGAATATATGTGTCTGTGTATGTGTGTGTGTGTGTGTGTGTATATATATATATATATATATATATAATTGAACCACTATGCTGTACACTAGAAACAAACACAACATTGTAAATCAACTATACTTCAATTAAAACAGATTTTTTTCAAGTTGAATAAAGATCCCCCAAATCCGTGTGCTAGCCTGGTAGATAGGACTGAAATAGACATTAAGAGGAGCCTTGAATAGATGCTGTTCTTTAAAAAAAATCCCTCATTCTGTTAACTAATCCATGCTGAGAACATGTGTGTTATGGAACACAGTATTAAATACTTTCAATCTTTAACAGTAATAGACTTAAATATCTCCTGATTTACAGCTCCTATGAAGTTGGTGAAAAGGATCCAAACACACAAAACAACAAGGTGCCAACACAGATGCCAGCTTGAGGAACCATGAGAGACTGATCACTCCCCTCATCCACCGTGGGAACAAGAAGGGCCCCTCCCACCAGCTCCACCAAGCCCCTCTCTGGAAAGGATGAGTTAGACTGCTCTGCTGTCAGTCTCAACCAATGAATTCAGGGTAGGACTTTCTGACATTGCTCCATAGGAACAGTGGGGTTCCTGAGCCCCGCTTCATTTCTGCTTAAAAAAAAAAAAAGGAAGCATGCAAACCAGATTCACATTTGTTTCTATATGACTTTAGCAATCATTAAACCAGTGTATACTACAATCCCACAGGAAATGGGAAGATATGTTTGGGGAAGGCTGGTAAAAGTCATGTCCCACATCAAAGGAACGTTGTCTTAGCTCTTACAGCTCACATCTGGACCACCTCCACACTTGGTTCAAATAATACCGCCATGGCTGAACACACCTCTTCTCCCCTTTGAAACTGCCCTCATTTAGAAAACTGATGGGGATAAAGGGAGCAAGACACTGATTCCCAGTTATTTTCAGAAACTACACAGTGGCCTTTGTGGGGATGCTCTCACGGGCTTCATCAAAACGTACAGAGGGGCCAGGAGCACGTTTGCATGTGTGTATTATTGCACATTATGTACTGTTGCATATAACTTCCACCTGCCAACAAAGACCAGACATTGTATGATCCAAAAACTTTCAAGTAAAACCACTGTACTGCTGCAACTGAAATCTATTATTTCTCGACTTTTCTAGTCACTGGTATTTCTCATATCCCCATTAGCTTTGACATCGATTTCCTGCATCATAACAAATAGCCACTGGGGAAGGTAGCATAGGGGGTGAATTGAAGAGACACAGCTACAGGAAGGCTGAGCAGAAAACTGGAGAGGAGGCCGCTCCATTGAGAATTAGACGTCCCACTGCTAGCAGCCAGGGCTACCAGAATTAGGTCCACTAGGCAAAAAAAAAACAAAAACAAAGAAGAGTATATGCTCTGGAAAAGCATGCTCTCCACTGTACAACTGAGAGGTATCTTCATTTATAAATCATTTATAAACCAGTCTCATGCAAATAAATTCACTCACCCTGATTAACACCGTGTGAAGTGAAAACACTCAGGCTGGGATCAATCATGGACCACAAAGTTGTCTGCAAACACAGGTACCCATCCACCTGTCCCTGTGGGGTCCTGCCTAACACAGGCAGCCCTCTGTACCTGTATGCTTCACACTGGTGAGTGTGAAGGGATTTGAGGGCAGAAATGGGTTTATGTAGAGTATTAAATAGAGGACCATAAAACCTAGGTTAGAAGTCATAGCTCCACCAATAACCTGCTGTGAGCTTGGGCAATTCAGTGAACCTCCCCAGAATTTGCTTTTCACATCCATTGATTTCTCAGCCTTAGATTATATTGTCAATTTTCAAACCCTTTTCTGGGAAGCTGT